ATTGTTTTATTTCTTCCCATTCATCATCCCAGCTTGAATTGTTTTATTTCTTCCCATTCATCATCCCAGGTTGAATTGTTTTGTTTCTTCTCATTCATCATCCCAGCTTGAATTGTTTTGTTTCTTCCCATTCATCATTCCAGCTTGAATTGTTTTGTTTCTTCTCATTCATCATCCCAGCTTGAATTGTTTTATTTCTTCCCATTCATCATCCCAGCTTGAATTGTTTTATTTCTTCCCATTCATCATCCCAGGTTTAATTGTTTTGTTTCTTCTCATTCATCATCCCAGCTTGAATTGTTTTGTTTCTTCTCATTCAACATAAGAACATGAATTGTTTTATCCCTTGTTACATTATCCCAGCTCACAATGTTTCATCTCGTCACTAATAAAGTAATATGTATGATGTTTCAGTTTACAAATGGTAAGTTGTATAGTTTAAAGAGAGATGATGTATTCCAGATCGGCAGGATATCAGAGACAAGTTCATCAGAAGGTTCAAAGGAATGGAACATTTGTATGAATATGCTAAGAACACCAGTGATGTGGAACTTTTAAATAAGATTCGATTTGTTCGCCAACATAGAGAGAGAATACCGGAATACGTAGAAATTATAAAAACAAAATGTACTTATCCCATGGATATGGCTAGTGAGTTATTCCCATCTTATCTTGCTATTTCTTAAAACTTGTGTGTCATTATTTAGGATTAACATGAAGCTACTGGCATGGCATGTCATTATTTAGGATTACCCTGAAGCTTCTGCCACGGTGTTGTCATTATTTAGGATTAAGGTGAAGCTTCTGCCATGGTGTGTCATTATTTAGGATTAAGGTGAAGCTTCTGCCATGGTGTGTCATTATTTAGATTAAGGTGAAGCTTCTGCCATGGTGTGTCATTATTTAGGATTAAGGTGAAGCTTCTGCCATGGTGTGTCATTATTTAGGATTAAGGTGAAGCTTCTGCCATGGTGTGTCATTATTTAGATTAACATGAAGCTTCTGCCATGATATGTCATTATTTAGGATTAACATGAAGCTTCTGCCATGGTGTGTCATTATTTAGGATTAAGGTGAAGCTTCTGCCATGGTGTGTCGTTATTTACGATTAATATAAAGCTTCTGGCCTGATACATCATTATTTAGGACTAGTAGAGACCTACAAAACATTTGCTGTCAAATTAGTATCTTTTTTTGTAATAGTACTTCTTTAAATACGGGATTTCTAGAATAATACAAATAAATTCTAATCATAGTCATCAAAATCTATAAATCCACATTTCTTAACCCTAACATTAATGAAGCCTTAATTAAGTACGGCCCATTTTCGATAAAAATATAAATTAACTCTATCTTGTGTACATTTTTTGCTTCAATTTAGTAAGGTCTAAACTGTACTGAACTTAATACTATCTGTAAATAAAGTTATAATGTCATACAAAACATCTACCAAAGTATACTACATCCATTAAAATGAAGTACACATGCATTCATGTTTAGATATTAAAGAGTATGCACATTTTCAGGACAGACAAATACTGAGTATTATTATAATAGATTAACTGTATGTTTGTGCCCTATGTGTTAAGTTTTTTCTCTAGTTCTGCATGAAGGTACTAATGACTATAAGCTAATACTGCTATCTAAGTTACTTTTCTACTGCTATAGTTAATTTGCTTGTTTTTGGATCTTATTTTGTGTCAAAAATTTAGATACTTGCATTTTATAAATCACAAGGTTTACCTTGATTTAGATTTCAATATTCATACATGTACTTACAGTGCTGTTTTTTTTATTTCTATTCTTGAGTCTAGATGTGTAAGATTTCATATTGTTTGTATGGTTGACTTCAGTGAAGGAATTTGGAATTTTGATATTTCAGTATTTTTTTCAAAATTCTAGATGTGGTTTTCACTACAGCTCATAAATCCAAAGGTTTAGAATTTGATACCGTATGTGTGAAAGATGACTTTACTATTGGCAATATTCCTTACCAAGAACCATCACAGAGGAGTAAGTGTTCATTTTCAATATCACCTTATTAACTGCTTGAAATTATTAAAGTTTAAGATTTACTGTACAGAATTTATAAAAAAACTAAAAATTTTTAAAATTATACTGACTTGTGATTTAAATACTTAGTATAGAGTCACTGATCCTAACTAGCTATTGAAAGACTGCAGAGTGAATTAGATTTTCTGTTTGCTGAATAACACGTTCTTTAATGTTATTTAAATACAGTTTAAGCTGTAAAATTCTGCTGACTGTGAATTTTTACAGCATTTAGCTTTACTTTTCTGTCTCTTTCAGTCATTCTTTATTAAGCCACTCAATCTCATGTTATTAATAAGAACCATGTACAGTATTTGGCCTTAATTTCAAAATTAAGAACATTTTAATTGATATTTAGGTTGATAAATGGCAGCAATAGATGATTAAAACCTATAAAAATTAAATAATAGTAGCATGTAAACTAATAAAAGCATTTTAGGACCTGCATTACTTTGTATTAATAATTCATAAGAGTGTTCTTTAATCATGTTAGGCCCAGCATTACTTTGTATTGAATTTTCAACAGTTGAAAGTGTTATCCAGTAGTTAAGCTTGTATTTCAAGAAAACAAATGCTATGTTTATTGTGTTATGAATTTCTACATCAAATTTAATTTTATTGTTATAACTACTATGATATAATAATTCTATAAAGAAATTAAATAACTCTACACATGTAGCTTGGCTGTATTCTATTTGAAATTTATCAGCTCCCGAGCTTGAAAATGAATTCAATGTACTCTATGTTGCTATCTCCCGGGCAAAGAAACGTCTCTGCATTTCTACATCTGTGTATTATCTACTTCTAGGTGCTCAGGTAAGGCTATAAGCTTTACTTTCTTATGTAAAGTTGTTCTTTATAGACATAAAGTTAAAGTAATAGTGTCATCTTCTATCTAACACTGATATTGATTGGGTAAAGTTGTTCTTTATAGACATAAAGTAATAGTGTCATCTTCTATCTAACACTGGTATTGATTGGGTAAAGTTGTTCTTTATAGACATAAAGTTAAAGTAATAGTGTCATCTTCTATCTAACACTGATATTGATTGGCCAAAGTACAAAAGTACAGTACATTAACAAAAAAAGTTACTATAATACAAAACACAAATTACAAAGACTACAGATATTTTTGGTATATGCTTTATTTTGTCCTGAATAACCTTATTGTTTCTTTAGAGCTATTCACAGTATACTTACAGTATGTCAAAAATACTCACCAAAACCTCTTACCTCTTAATGGCTTTCAATTAAAGTTTAAAAAACATTAAAACAATCAATAAAGTATTTTTAATAGATTTAATTTTTCCATTACAGTTCCAAAAGTGAAAAACTTTGAAAAAGTTTCATTTAATCTGTTAAAGGATTAAAATTACAAAAATAAAAATGTTTAATTACTGGTTGATGACAATTTTCCAGATTTCTAACATTATGTAAATTAACTCATATTATTACTTTCTCCAACATACAATTCTCCACAAGCAGAACATTTTAAAACTTGTTACATTTTTAACTCTACACTCAAAAGAACCTTTCACCTTAAATTATTCCTGCAATTTTGGTCCAACAATTAAATTCCCTACTTCAAGATATCTATTTGTACACATTAAACAATTTTTTTATTATATTTAAATTGAAAAACAAAACTTTTATATTTGATATAAATTTGAAACTACTGAAGACTAGCCTACGATGCTACTAAACTGAGTAAATAAAGAACAGTTTGGTTAAAAAGAAATAATTTGAGTTTTATTATATTCCCCACCACCATACAGATACGCCCCCCAGTGGCACAGCGATATTTTTGCAGACTTACAACGTTACAAACCGGGTTTCGATACCCGTGGTGGGCAGAGCACAGATAACCCATTATGTAGTTTTGTGCTTAACTTCAAACAAACAAACAAAGTTCCATACAGACACATACTTAAATATCAGCACTGATAAAAAAACCTATTTGTTATATCTTACACTGTTATTTGTATATTCTTTAAAAAATGGGTCTATGGTAGTTTTTATTAATGGTTAACTAATCAAAGATATAAGTAAAAGGTTGTACTCTAAGGAATGAGATATAAGCTATGGGCAGTTTTAAAATGAACCTATTTCAAAGTTTGAAGTAGTATTGTTCAGGTAACTATCATATTTAACTTTTCTATTTCCTTGTTTTAGTAACTATCTCTAGACTAGGATACGCATAGTTGGAAGTTGGTGACAGTTTTCTTGTGTTTCTGTAGTACATGAACGTGAACAGATTTAAATATTGACGTTCATGTACTACAGAAACACAAGAAAACTGTCCTCCTGAAAATACCTCATCAGATTTAAATAATGAGGTATTTTCAGGAGAAGTTTGAGTATCCAGCATACTTGAAAAACCTTATGTATGACCGGTTGCCATACAAACTTGAATGCGTCAGCTGCAAAGACCAGTTTGAATCAAGAAATGTTCTACTGCTTGTAAGACGACCATTTCGAACTGTGAGTGCTTACTTATTTCAATGTTAATATGTGAGCTGAACATTATTGTCTTAACGTTTTGTGAGATTGAAAAAGGACTTGTAGTATCTATAGAAATTCATAAAGTATCTCTCCATGATGTCAGTGGTAGATCAAGTCAAGTATGGCTCCACTAAAACTGAGATATTAATAAAATTACCATCAAATCAGTGAATATCACAAAAATAATCAACATTGAAATTAGGGTTTTCAGAACTATCCAAACCTTATATGAGAATAACATTAGTAAACTTGATGATTAATCAAATTCCAATAATTGCCACTCTCTTGTTTCTATATGTTTACATAGTGAATTGAATTGTATTGGTACGAATGTTACATGGATGAGTTATCACACTTTGATGTAACAGATAGTTTTGTAAGAGATGTTTATGAAATGAAGTGTCTTTCTTATATCTAGGCTAACAATCACCTGATTCCTGGAGGACCTGTTTGCCCTATCTGTGTTACCAAGAGTGGATACAGTCCTCTTTTCCCACACCCAGACATGGGTTATGTTGGGAGTATTACCGATAATGTACGACAAAGCCTTTCTTGTCTGGTAGGACCCTTAGCTAGTCAGACTACAGAAGGGATCAAATACAGATAGCCAAAATGGGATTTCTCTAATAATTATCATCTGTGGCATGGGGCCAATAATATTCATAAAATTGCTGTGATGTGTATATGTACTTATAAAAATATATCTTTATTATTTTCTTAATAGGAAATACACATTTCTGCAGTAAAAGAAAACTGAAAAATATTGTTTTAAAACATGAAAATATAACTATAAAAATAGAGATTTTATAAATATATTTGGGAAACCAACAACAGAGACAGAATTTCTGCTTATATGTAAACATGACTGTCAGGTGTCTGATAAATAAAGTTGGAACACCAGTAAACTACACATGCACACAAGGAAAGTACATGATGTAGGTAAACATGACTGTCAGGTGTATGATAAATAAAGTTGGTACATCAGTAAACTACACGTGCACACAAGGAAAGTACATGAAGTAGGAAAACATGACTGTCAGGTGTATGATAAATAAAGTTGGTACATCAGTAAACTACACGTGCACACAAGGAAAGTACATGATGTAGGTAAACATGACTGTCAGGTGTATGATAAATAAAGTTGGTACATCAGTAAACTACACATGCACACAAGGAAAGGTACATAAAGTAAGTAAACATGACTGTCAGGTGTATGATAAATAAAGTTGGTACATCAGTAAACTACACATGCACACAAGG